TATCGCCATAGGACACACCTTAAGTAGTGCTAAAAATTCAAGAATTCAAATAAGTTGCGTCATTGTGTATATTTAAACATTCAAAAAATCAGAATTTGTATAAATTCATTGGTAAAAGAAAAAATGGGGGTGAGCACTAAGCATGATTGGCGAATCACACTTGTGTTTATAATATGATATATTATATTGAATTTTCTTTATGATTATTTAAACTGTGTTTTAACAATTAGTTTTTATGTTTTGGTGAGATAAGGTATTTCACATAAAATTGTATTGTACGTTGATATACTGATATATTTGATCAAATTCTTGAGGGCAATTCGAGGCTCCAGATGTCGGGTGGAAGACACGACCCCGTAATTTCAATATTTGTGTCTGATAACAATTCTCTAACACTTATAAGCATGGAGTGTCATGCGGCACTTAACATAACTCAACACAACTTATAAGTCTCATTCTTATTGTCTTATTTATATGATTTATTTATTTATTTATTATTTATTTTATTTATTGCAGACTGCATGTATACTATAACTGAAAGCGATTCCAGTTTGCAAGGTCCGTGAAGGCGTAGGTAGACTTTTTTTGACTTGACTATTTTGAAAAATATTTAAAATACCTATACGTATTTGAATAAATACATACATGAAAAATGTATTTATAGATAGGTACTTTCAAATTTGTCTATAAAATATATTTTTTACCTATAAATCAATCGAAAAGATTTTTGTGTTTTACATTAACTTTATATTGCTTATATTTTACACCGTATCATTGGGTTGAACTTTAAAATATCTACTCAACTGTTTTCTTAGTCGAAGTTTTTAATTATTGGTCGAGTATTATCCACAGTAATAAACTAATAAATAGATTATGATAAATTTTTATTTCACGTGATCAAAATTAAAATATAAAATATATAATCTAAAAATAATTATTGAAGTATTTGATTTTAAATACAAATACTTCGAAAAAGTATTTAAAATAGGTATTTGAGTACCCTAAAAGTATTTGAATACTTTTACTAAAGTACTTTACAATATACATGTCTATACGTTTATAGTGACTATACACGTGTGGTTGTGTCATGTCATCTTAATACGTTTAGTATTGTTTACTTTGGAGTTTGGACTTACTTTTACTTAGATTCAAAGAAACAACCTTTTTTCGTTTATTTATCTGAAAAAACGTATCCAATCTTAATACATATTCTACATTTTAACGATTTAATTTGTTGCACTTCCCTATGACAATTAATTCCATCTGCCACAAAATTACTGAAAACATATTTATGTCATAGTTTAAAGTTAATACACATGTTTCAATGTTTGTATTGTTTATTAAATATATGTATAATGTACAATGTACATAATTGTGTCATTAATTTAACCCTCATTTTTGGTAAACTTGTTGAATCTGAATGATTTTTTGATATTTTAGGACATTCTTTCAAAATACTGGGTTTTAATTCAACATTGATTTCTTGATTATACACATCCCAATAATGTGACCCCTTACATCGCATTGATTATATGTATTGGATGCGAAACAGATATCCTTGGTGGCCAGTTCATCATGAATAAGTGCATCAATATTTACTTTTGTTATTATTTTTCAAACAAATTGAATACAAGTAACTAACATTAAACACCAGGACACTACAAGTTCCAAAAACTAAGACTAAGATTAAATTAATATATTAACGTTTGTATACGTAAATATTGTGTAAATATCAAATATATTGTAATACAAATATACAATTAATTACAATCAGCTATAATAGTACGAGTATAATATAATTCGATAATATTAGGATATTAATATATTATTCATATTGTAATTTTGGTATTTTAGTTTTTTAATTATACCCTAATTCAGGGTAGGTAAACATTGGTAAATGAAACAGTTAATACAATGTATGGTTAATATGGTGAACAATTTTTTTCGGGAGACCTATTTTTTCGGTGGGGGTTACAGTAATTTGATGTCTAAGGCCCGACTACTACCGGGTAAAGTAAGTCTGCATTTTGGGGAGTGGACTCGTATTACAGTGGCCTATAAGCCCTGAATCACCAACTAGCTACGGTACTGATGATATAATTGATGTTTGTCATGTTTTGTAGCCACAGTCATATAATATAACTGTAATTGACTTATAGTCTACATCTAAATAAGAGTGAAATAAATATGAGTATAATACCTATTATAGGTATACCTTTTAAAAAAAATTACAATTACTTACTTACTCGATGATTGGTGTCTGTTAAACGAGATATAATATCTAATTATATAACTATAAATTATAATAATTATCATTATTATTTATTACGTAGTTAATCAATTTAGTTTTAATTTTTTTAAATTTTGTACATATTAGTTGCGACTTATACTTACATATGTATATATATATATGAATATATAAGTACATAATACATTAATACATTAAAAAAAAAAATTCTGTCCATGATATTAAATCTTTTGTAAGCTTATAAGTAATAACTTATAATATATTGTACACTTTATAACTGTGAGACGTGAGTTCATACCTATATATTAGGTATGTCTAAGTAGTAAGTTAAGAGTTTACGACCTTGATGTTGAGGCCTTACAATAATAATAAATAAAAGTAGCTTATTATTATTTTTATAATATACCTACTATCGATGCGATTATTTTAAACCGCAAAGATGTTAACAGAGTACCTGTTTATTTTGTTCCGTCTTATACTCGTGTACTATAACATAATTCATACCTAGTGTCCTAGTAGATAGATAATTAAAAGTTAAAACCTCACTCATTGACCAGTTAATTATTTGCCGTATTTTTGCGAACAGCAGAAAAACAGTGTTGGGAAAGTTACTTTTTCAAAAGGATCTCGTTCCGTTCTCCGTTCATTACTTACCATATAAACTCGTTCCAGATCTATTGTTCCTTATTCAAAAAAGGAACTCATTTCAAATCCAGTTTCTCTAAAAAATAACTCTTTCCAATTGTTGTTACTTTTTTAACTAAGTTATTAAAAAAATTGATAAAGAATAATAATTTTTATATTTATCATGTTAGGCAAGATCAAAAGAACCAAAAAAACACGTTAACAGATCATGAAATAATATATTGAATATAGGCTGGCAGTCGATAGACCATCTCTGACTCGCTTTTCGTCTACAATGATAAATTATTGAATTCCGTTTTTACACATCGATTACAGTGACTTTTTTTCAATCAACATTTAACTTGTATTTTCCTTTGGGTAAATATCTATATTCTGAATAAATGCAATCAAATAAATATCTTTAAAAATTATTAAATAATATAAATTCAAATTAATATCTTTTATCAACAAAAAACAATTCTGTAATCGATGAATTTTTTGTGTGGATTTTGTGTACATTTCAGTATTTTAAGTCTCTATTTGACCACAACATTAACGGCACATATCTAAGATCCTGCCAAAATCAGGATGTCCTCGTCACATTAACCATTACCTAACATTTAACTCATAGCTTTACTGCGTTATTGCTTTCTTAACGTTGACTTAACTTCACTAACTCATTCAGTATCTACCAAGTAAAAAAGTAAGTCTAAGAGTTAACAAAACTGACAAATATATCAAAATTCCAACACCCACAATATTCTCGATTTTAAAATCTAACTTTTGATACTAGATAGTAATTAATAGCAGGATTATTTTTAATAATAATACAACTTTAAGCATAATTAATTAAAACGATGCAATTATTTTATCCCAACTCACTTCCACTCACTACTCATCCAACCATAATATTATATGTATCATGGTTGTGCAAGTGTGCAGTATTATACAGTAAGCACTATGTACGACATAAATTATAATAAATAATAAAAGTGGGTTTCCGGCATCAATCACTGAGGTAATTTTTCATTACTCCGACGATTGGCCTATAATAAATAAATTATAAATGTATAATAGGTCAATGACTATTGACTTTGACACATTAATTGTTCTATAAAATATTCTTATTTATCATGATCGTGAGCCATGAAATATGTTTGATAATATTGTTTAAAAAAAAAAAAATAATATCATCACGGTTTGAAACGTTTCTGGACGTTCTAACACCAATTTTTAGATTTTTAATACCCGGATACCATCAGGAAGGTTGACAATATTGTACGGCGTACAGACCATAGAGAAATATCACGGTTGCGGCCTATTGCTATTAATTATTGTGTCGTAGAAAATCGAGAAGTGCGTTTTAATTTTTTTTTTTTCCTTACAGACATTGGCGGATTGAAACACGTATAATAATTATTTTGTCGCCGGTAAGAAAAGTATGACGTGTACGTGCTACGTGGGTCGTGTAGCGGTGGGAGGAGGGAATAATAATATGTATAACAATAAATTATTAACAAATGAGCTGCAGGCACAGTGACGCAGACGATTCGCATCGGACGACCGTCAACCGTCGACCATGAATCATGAAACTCATGATATAGTAAACGGCGGCGGACACTCGAGTACTCGACGATGTAATAGTATTACGTCTTGTCTACGCTCGACGACGAGGCCACGGCGCGGCGGAACGACAGTTTTGCCAGTTTCGGCGCCTGTGCGACACATGACGGTACAATAATTACCGTGAGTACCCACCCGTGTAGGAAGTACCGTGCGGGCACGTCGTTTTGAACGCGGCCAGGCAGGTTTGGCAACCGTCGCCTGGCCGTGCATGGAGTGTGGATGCACTGCGAGCGGACATTTTTTTTGGGAAAATTTTTGAACGTTCGGCTGAAATGGCCGAAACCCACCACACGAGATCGGTAGCGGACGACGAATTTCCTGCTAAACGGGATTTTCAGGAGACGGGTTCAGCTTGTATTTTGGGGCCCCGGTCAACGCTTCCCGCGCCGCCCAAACACCGTTTACCCATAAGCGGCCGCACGGGGATTTTTCTACCCCCCGCCCCGCAGTACCATAACCACCGACATGTGTAGCCAACCAACGACGACCAGGAACGAACGTAGAACTACAGTACGACGCACACAATTTTACGCACGATCATTATTCATTAGCAGTCCGGTCGTTGTTCCGTTGTCCGTTCCGCATCCGTTTTCGATCGTTTTACGCCGTTTCAACAACATCCGTGCGTCGACAACAGGTTACTCTGTAAGTAGACACTGTTTTGAAAACTTAAAAACTTTTCGGTCAAGGTGGCCGGCCGATGAGGTATTGTCGTTGGTTCGTCGCGCCGACTTAGCAAACGAACGGCCATTTCGGCGCTGCGGCGGCCCCCCCTGACGCGGCGGTTGTCACGTTGTTGTCGGCCGTGTCCGATCTCTAAACACTCTAAGCGGTCGCACGGCACCGGAGGCTGCCGTCCCGTGCACGTCTTAATCTTTTTAACCCGTTCGCTCGTGTTTGGATTTTGAGTACGCACGCACACTCGTGGTTCGCGCGTGCGTGCGTGATAGACCGTTGGACAATGGCTACGGAAATCCGTCGTTTTTTGCCATCGAGTCTCCGGTCGTGTACGGCCTTGACATCGTTTCAGTTTCTTCGGACAATTTTCTCCGTTCCGCGTACATCGAAATGGTGCCTGGGGCGGTCGAGCCTCGGCGACGAACTCGCCAGTCACATGGTCGTCGGTCGTGTGCTCGGAACATTACCCCTCGACCACCTCGCCAAAGCATGTATTCTTGCTTGCTGGTCACAGGTAACCCACCTAGTTACCCATCAAATACTCGGTTGGTCGAATTAGAGGGATCAGCTACCCTTTGTTTGCCCCTTTCTCTCAGCTTTACATCACCATCGGTTTGGTCTCTGGATGTAACGTTTTTGCCACCGACAATGAGTATCACTTATCCACTCTGGTCTGCTGCTATGCCATGTGCCTACGATTATTTATTTGGTTATGTTTCGATATGTCGTTCCCTAAACATAGTGTAGGTACTTATCCTATTCTCGATTGTATCCTACCTGTTGACTGTCTTGTCTTACTATTCTCTCACTGCCGTTCCATGTCTTTTCAATGTTTGACCTTACAATGGGTTTTATTTTTAATCATGTTTGTTTGAATTGGGTATCACTTGCATTGTTGAATTATTAAGTTAAAAATTAGGTCAGTTTTTAGTACATTTCCTCTGTTCTAACATTAAAATATTTTCACATACTACTTAGGTACCTCTATCTACTCAGCACTCTAAAATTATGAACAGGTTTTTTTGTTTTTTATTTAATTTTTGACTATTAAAAATTAGGCAGGTACAAGGAGTTACTTTTCATTTGACCTATTTAGCATGTTGGCTGCATGTCATATTTGTAGATGTATTTGTCCCTGCACTGAAAAACATTAGGTTTTTAAAAAAATAAATTCTTAAGATATTGATGTATGTACGGAAAAGCACAGATTTTTGATACACTTAAAATGATACACAAATTTTGTAGAAGTGTTACAAATAAGCAAAAATACAATTTTAAATTAGACATCTAATTGTAAAAAAAATATATATAATCAATTAGGTATCCATACTTATTGGTTTGATAATTAATTTATTGGTATGAAAACAATTTAAAATAAATTAAACAACTATTAGGTACTTCATGCAAAACAAATACAGTGTACGCTCGATTATCCGCGGAATAGGGTGGCAGGACATCCATGAATACACAAATTCCGCAAATAATCTATAAAATATAATATTAAAAAAATAAGTTGGAAATTAAATTTTTTTTAATTCCGCAAATTAAAAATTATAAATTATCCCCAAATTAAACCGATAATGATTTATAATGTTAATATATGTAAGTATATATTTTTTGTATACATATAGATATGTTGATGATTCCGAGGAATACTGCGGATAATTAAGAGTACACTGTACATTTTTCAGTAACATTTTTTGACAAAATAATGTATTAATTGAATTTTGTATTTGACAAAATATTATTTTACATACATATCAGGTTTTGATAAAAGTATATACCTATTATGCATTAAATATCAAGTTGTCAAAACATTCATTAATCATCTTAACATGAAAAGAAATATGCAAAAAAAAATATTTGTCAGTAGCGTATAAACTATTAATATATATTATGATTACTGATAATCCAAAAAGATAAAAAAACAATATGGAATCTCATAAAAATTCGTGCTTTATTTAGAGAACTCAAATTAAAGTTAAATCATAACTATATATTTCATTACAATACCAGTGTTTCTGGTGCAGTATTTTCCACAACATTATGGTCTAAACCAAAAAAAAATTAAAGCTGAGCCCCCCCCCCCTCCACCAATTGTTACTGTATGGATGGATATTCTAGGTTAACCTTCAGTATTTTTTAAAAATAAATAGCATTATATGTACCAAGTATTTAGGTAGGTACAATTAATTGTAGTTAGTATTTATGAAATCATAGAATGGGCATTCTTATAAATGTTAAATTTTTAATATATACTTCATAAAATACCTAAGTTATTTTATATCTTTATTAAATATGAACAATCAGAATTTTATCTTTTTTTCTGAAGAAATGATTACCAATAATTATGTAATGTCTATTACAGTCAACACATTATTCTAATGTCCTTGTAAAATACATTAAGTGTTTACTATTTTTTGTAATGCCTAGCCACCTAGGTAATTAAACAAACAAAAAATTATCGCAAAAATATTCAAAACATCAAATCTAACACTTTTTTAAATGTATGTATATGTAATAATCTTTTAAATGTTACGAGTTATTTTTATTTGCATTTATACTTATGCATTACATGATAAATAGATTAAATACCTTTTTGATTTCAATTGAAATTTCTTCGTTATTTTCCTCTTCTGTAACTATTTAAAAAAAAAAAAACATATTGTTGACAAATAAAACTAAAGAATAGCGTAGCGTATACAAGATTTTTTAATTAGTTTTATATGTTGTAAGCACTTTGTTTCATTGTAACAAAAATATTTTTCAGCGAGTTGTTGTATGAGTCAAAAAACAGAAAAACCGGTACTGTCAGGTCAACGCATCAAGACCAGAAAAAGAGGTAAATATATTTATCTAGAGTAATTTTTCTATTAAAACTTCAATAATTAATTAATTAGTTTAACATTTTTGCATTATATTAATGCAGTGTAAGGTGTGCTGTCAGGAATTCTGAATAAAGATTATGATAGTCTTGGGCTTAGGGATAAATAGTAATAATTTATCCATACATTATAGGAAATGTCCCATCCACCAGGGGCACTACTGTTCAATATTAATTGTGGGCCCAGGGCCATGCCCCCACTTAATCATTCTTGCAATCTGTCATGAATTAATATTTTAAAATTAATAATATGTTGAGTCACATGATATGGTGTTCAGAATTATTGTTTATTAAGACTTAATATTTGTTTACTTAATTATATATTAACTTATTTTATTTTATCTATTTTAAAGATGAAAAAGAAAAATACGATCCTTTCGGCTTCCGGGACTACATCCTTGGGGGCCTCAACGGTGCCGGCACTGACCTAGAAGCAATTTGGAAGTTCCTTGATCAAGCTGGTTCTAAAGTTGATTATCGCCGTTACGGTGAAGTCCTCTTTGATATACTGATTGCCGGAGGTCTTTTAGGTGAGCATTTTGATATTTTCTGTTGTAAGTTTTCATTGGACATTACAACTTAATTTTTTTTTAGTTCCGGGAGGATCCATATCACAAGATGGATCGATATCTCAGGATGGGGACAAGCTGTGGAAGACAAACGCATGTGTTTTTGAAGCGCCCGAGGACATGGTATCTATGCGAAACTATGAACAGGTGTTCATCAAACTCATGCGCCGATATAAATATTTGGAGAAAATGTTCGAGGAAGAGATGAAAAAAATTTTGTTGTTCATTAAAGGTTTTAGTGACATTGAACGTATTAAACTGGCACGTATGACTACGTTGTGGATTGCTAATGGTTCAATTCCACCTACTGTTCTTCAAGTTCTTACTAATGTAAGTTCTGTAATATACATAGATTGTTATTTTATCCAACTGATGATTTTAATATGAATTAATGTTTTTTAGGAGCATTTGATTAAAGATGGGTTGGCCTTAGAGTTTCTCATTGAACTCTTTGTGACATACAAACAGGAGGTAGGTAATGCCCATCTACTGACTGTATTGAAAAAAGGAGGACTCGAAGGACGGTTAATGGATTTCTTGCCTCCAAACAAGCGTACTGAAGAAAATCTCCGTGCACAGTTTGAAGAAAAAGGATTGAGTGATGTAGTTAAGTTACATTTAGCCCAGGCCAGTCAGGAAGCTAAACGCAACTTGGAAATTCAGCTTCATGATGACTTTAATGACAACAAAAATATGAAAGAAATCATTTCAAATATCAAAGAATTGTCTTCTAAGCATGACATTCCCGAACATGAAATTATTGTTTTGGTGAATATTACTTTTATGCATAATAATGTCAATATTTTGATCAAAACAATTAAAATTTATATGGTTGGAGTTATGTTTTAATAAGAATGTAACTATTTGTTTACAGGTATGGACAGTTGTAATGACACAAGTTGAGTGGAACAAAAAAGAAGAACTTCTAGCAGACCAGGCACTTAAACATTTGAAGCAATATTCACCATTGTTTTCAGCGTTCTCAACTACTGCGCGTTCTGAATTGGCACTCATGCTCAAGGTTCAAGAATATTGCTATGAAAATATGAATTTTATGAGAGTCTTCCAAAAAATTATTTTACTCTTCTATAAAAGTGAGCAATTGTTTCTCGAATTTTAATATTTATCAGTATCACTATCCAAAAATGTATTTATTTAAATTTCTAAATAATATTTTACAGCTGATGTGTTGACTGAAGAAGTAATTTTAAAGTGGTACAAGGAGGGACACTCAAAGGGTAAAACAACATTTTTGGAACAAATGAAAAAATTCATTGAATGGCTACAGAATGCCGAGGAAGGTAAATACTTGATATGACTTAATTATTTACTAAATTCCATTTATTTTTGTACTTTCCTTGTTATTGGCTATGCCTCTCTTAAATTAATTTAATTTTGGGCCTTGTATTGTAATCCACAGTTATCCCTGAGCAAGGTCCTCTAATGTTTTTTATTAGACTATAAGGTTACACCTATTCATATAATTTCAATCTCAATATATTAACATAATACATATACTAAAATGTAGTAATAATTCTTAAACAACAACCATTCCAGATAAATTATTAACAAGTTATGGTCGGCCCAAAATTATATACACTATAAAACATGAAAATTAATTATATACATGCATTTGCTAAAAAATTATCTCTGTTTATTAAATTGAACAAAGTTTAAAAATGTGACTTAACAATTTGACTGCCTACTGTTGCAAATTTAATTGTTTTCAAAGCAAAATTTATCTTGCTATAGTAATACTAATCTCTATCGTTGACGAGTATCAATGTTGCGTTATATTTTTGAAAACAAATATTACATTCCAACTCATTAAGCTGTTGGTAGTAAGCTTTAAAATTGTCTGTCCTTAGTTAACTCCTTTTTATATTAATAGAGAAATTTTTTTATTATTTTGGGCTAAAATTAATGTGAACGCATCTACAAGTAGTCTGTTTTTATAAACCCTCCGTCTTGGTGATGCCTATGTTTACTATTGCAATGGATCTAATGCTTAACGGAGGGATATTAAAATATATATGAACTGTTGCCTTCGGTGCTCACACATTTTCGTCTGAGTTCCACCCTCTATTGTTCATACAATCATGAATGACGTGAAAAATCTATAAAACAACCACTATTTGTTTAAATCATTTATTTATTAGTTACTGTAAATTCATTAATAAATAGTTCTTATAAACCTCTGTCTTGGTGATGCCTATGTTTACTATTGCAATGGATCTAATGCTTAACAGAGGGATATTAAAATATATATGAACTGTTGCCTTCGGTGCTCACACATTTTCGTCTGAGTTCCACCCTCTATTGTTCATACAATCATGAATGACGCAAAAAATACATGAAACAACCACCATTTGCATAAATTATTTATTTATCGGTTACTGTTAATTCATCAATTAATAGTAATAAGTTCTTGTCAACCTCCGTCTTGGTGATGCCTATGTTAACTATTGCAATGGATCAAATGCTTAACGGAGGGATATTAAAAAATAAATGAACAATTGCCTTCGGTGCTCACACATTTTCGTCTGAGTTCCACCCTCTTATATTCGTATAGTTTAATTACTTCACTTAAAATAAATGTATTTATATGAGTAATTTGTTTTAATTATTGAATTGCGGACAAATTAATTATAATTGTGATCAAAATCCGCGTCGATGACTTTCTAACTACACACTAAGATACTTTTGGTTCTTTTGGAAAAACCGTACAATATTCTTTATACTTCAAGTCAATATTATTTCCTGTTTCAGAATCTGAGTCAGGCGAAGATGAGGATTAATTTAAAAACCAAAACAACCTGAAAAAAAAATTAATAAGAAGCATTAACACACAAGATGTCAGCCAACGACCAAAATCTTAAACTTACCAAGGATTCTACTATTAACTTGTTTCATTACTTTTTTTAATAAATAAAAACACCAAGGTATATGATTATATTAAAATTTTTTATAGTTGAAAAACAAAGATTTATTATAATTATTATTATTTTTTTTTTTTTGAGCATAATATAGTAATGAACAAACAAATAAAAATAGTTTTAATTATTATTAATTTAGTCATTCAAAGATATATTATATTATAATAATTGTCGTACCTACACAAGGTGGTCTCATAGCAACAAAAAATGTATCCAGTTAACATCTCTATATATATATTTATGTAATAATTGCAGTGGTGTATGGCTGTTATAAGTGTTGTTTTTTTTTTTTTAATAAACAAAAATTATTTTTTAATAATAATTTTTTTTGCCTTTCACATAAACACTACATGTATAATTTATCTTCAACACGCTGCGTAAATGTGCGTATGTCCCAATTTTGTTTTGATAATTAAAAAAAAACTGTCACACATGAGTAGGCAACTTTAAATCTAATTGATTTTCCATATTTTTCTTAAATAAATATATAACAATATAGTTATACAAAATAAATGCATACAAATATCTAATAAAAAAAAAATAATATGTATAATAATAATAAAGCAACATCATTTACATGGAAACTGGAAGAGGTAATAATTATCATAAAGTAATAATGTTACATAATAATAAGAAATAAAACATACAAATTTCGTTAAAAAGTTTTCAATTATTATCACAATACACTTGGCAAAAAAAAACAATATTAGTATATTCTGGGGAGGGGAGGTTTGTTGACAATTATTGTGTGATTTTTTGCGCTGCAAGTTTTTTATTTTTAAAAAATATATAATCCAAATGTGCTTAAAAACTAAAGAGATCAATTAAAAAAAGATGAGAAACAGCAGTAGTATAGTCAACGACAATTATTTTACTCTGAATAGAAAATAGTATTTTTTTTTCTTAATGCAAAATGTCTAAACAGTTAACTGTAATTTGTTACGCAAACAACAAATATTCTCTAAACATAGCGTTATAAATTAATATATTATTAAAGAGCACGTATGGTAGTAGTAGAAATATTTGATAATTGTATTGGTAATTTAATTGAAAGAAAATTCACTATACATATTAGTATATTATTATGCACGTTACAAATATTTTCTGATAAAAATCTATTAAGAAATTATTCACGATGATCCATTAAAATGACAAAAAATATATGTATATACTATATTATATATATCCAAAGATTATTTTATATAAAGCGACCAATACTAAATAGTTAAACTTGATATTCAATATTTATTTATTTTTAAATAATTTGTATTGCAGGTACTTAGGGTATAGGTAAATTCGATAAGTGTGAGACAATTAATTAAAAATACAAAATAATAATAAAATAATAGTAAAAATAATATCTAAAACTAAAATATATTATATAATAATTATTAATATATATATTACTACGAACAACATAATACCTACTCACGACCACAACATGTTTATTCTGACAACAATAGGTTTATCAAGTAAAAATAACGAATTAAAAAAAACGGATATGTTTTTTGCACAATATTTCCATACTCGATACGTGCAGTTACTTCAGAAAATAAAGAGACCCGTGGACAAAAACTAAAATTTAAATGCTTGTTATCACTATATATATAATGATACATAAGACTACACATTTCAGTAATAATAATGAGCGATTAAGTTAAAAAAAGTTTAACACTGCCAACAAGTAACAAAAGTTAAATGATTTCTCAATTCAAATGTTGAAAAAAATAAATGGTAATTAATATTGTCAAAGTTGGAAAGAAAAGCACTCTTAGATAACGTTAAGAGACTAAATTAAAAAAAAATCTAATAACTATACATTTTCTCATATTAAAATCAACAAAAGTTAGGTATTTGTTGTGTAAATGTTTAAAAATAAAAGTATTACTTTGTGGATAATCTATAATACAATACACATATTTTTAAAATCTTCAACATTTAAAAAAAATGCCCATTACTCGATTAGAGGCAGGGTAAGAACAACTAATTGCACAACGAATAAAACACAAAGGTTAAAAGTTCTACTAAAACGAAAACATGCAAAATTGCTAAAAATAAAGTTATCACATATGAATGGAAAAGCTCGCGCACACTAGTGTGACTGATTTTTTTTCTTTCAAATTTTATCACACGCAAGACCCTATAGTGTATGGTGAGGGTAACAAATTTTATTAAATGGTTACAATAAAACCTTTAGAAGTTTAATATTTAGCAGTGGAATACTATTACAGCAAAACAATGATGCATCCTCCCCCCTCTCACTCTTACACATAATTCAACGGGAAGAGGTTGAACACGAATTAGCTGGCGGTAAAACCACCAATTCTCCGTGTCATGTTGGAACAATGAATGGAGTTTCAGATGGCAAAGGTGAACCAGAAGCAGCATCCTTAGTTTCTTTGGTCTCGATGTCTACACGACATATAGGACATCGTTTGTTAGATGACAACCATTGGTCAATACACTCAACGTGAAATAAGTGCATGCATGGTAAACGTCTAGAAAATACCAGTTAAATATTTGTATTGTTTTTATTATTATTTGTAGTTTTTTTTAAATTCATACCTAACATCCTCTGTATCCTCAAAATCTGAAAGACAAATGGTACACTTCTCTGTATTATCTTCCATTTCATCCGATGATCTCTTAATCTATCACATTAACACATCATTCATAAATGTCAAACTTTATTTATTAATATCATATTGTACAATAACTATAATAATTAAAATACTTACACGTTTGTATTTATGAGGAAAAGTATTCTTTTCTATAGTGTCTTTTGAAGCACCACGATTCATCATGTGAATGCGACGTTGTTCCATTAATCGTAAATAATCTTCTAGCCGATATGATAAATGACGTGTTAACATGGGTAATGATCCTAGTTGAGAAATCTGAGGTATATCAGCACCTTGCTGTGATGGAATTGTTGAGCCTGGAGTTGTCTGTATTAAAAATATAAGTATTAAAATTATTAAACATTATATAGTTGAAAAAACAATCATTCCAAATTACATTAACAATAGTTCCAGATGGCGCTCCAATACTAATGCGTACATGATGCATTCGACCAGGTGGTCCAGGAGGATGGTAATTATAATAATGATGAATATGAGGATGACCACCATCACTGAAAAAAAAAAATTATAAATATATGTATTCATGTAATCAAAATTGAATAAATACCTCGTAGACCCACTTTGAACCACAATTTCTGTTTGTAATGAAGATGTAGGTACTTGTTCTATTCCATCAGTAGGAGGAGATAATGTCTATAAATGTATACAAAATTATTATTATAAAAAAGCAGTAATTAAATAAGACATTAATAATGTTAACATGTTACTTTAAACAATTTAAATTTCAGTGAAAAATTGTAAATATAATTAAAAATGTATTTTAGGTGAATAAAATATTAAGTTAAACCTAAGGATGGTTTTTTAAAACTAAATTAGAAAAAGACAGCCAATGTAATCACGCCTTTTGCTTTAATATTGGAATCTAGTGATTCTTTTATATTAGTTTCAAAAACAAATATTAAAAACATATTATCAATTTTATTTTGTTATAAATACATATTTTATAAAAAAAATGTTTCAAAAATTTCATTGTGTTTAAGCACATGAAGTTCTGAACCCTAGTTATTACCCCACTAGTGACTAAGATCAGTAATCATGTATTCACGTCCTAGATCACATAAGATTCAAGTACCCAGGCAATTAATGGCTACGACATATTAGGGACTATAAATAAAATTGTGTGAAATTACTTAACAGCGGCACCAAACTGTGTGCCATAACACCAAAATACTGTATAAAAATAATTACAATGTAAATTTATGCTTATTTATAGAACAATACACAATATACACTAGTATAGACATTTTTAAGCTGGAAATAATTTTTGAGTGCTTGACCTGTGAGTCTCTTATTTATGTCTTTGGCATTACCAACACAATTAATTTAAATGTATTATTACTTATACCACCCTCCCCCCCAGATTGAAAATTCCAGGGCAAACAAACCACTGTATCTAATGATATAATATGCAGATAAAGTAATTTTGAAAATTTTTAACATGATACAAATTAATAGTTAGGTTAGGTTATAGCTATGAAAACCAAATTGTTTTATTAAACCTAATGATATATTTAAGAAATCACTTATCATTGTAAAATTAAATAAGATGAATAAACATAAGACGGACATAGTTACTTTATAACTATCTAGAAGTTCAAACAAGATACATTTTCAAATTAATTTTGAGTTTCTGAAAACTTAAATTTGACCGCATTCTAAATTTCAATTTATTCAGGAATTTAATATACATATATTAGATAATAATATATATATATATATATTATGCACGCATAAATAGGATGCAGTAAGCTTTACTTACAATGACAGCAGTAGGACCAATTCTACGTGAAGTAATTACTTCTGGCCGGCTGAACACATTTGGTTGCTGAGGTGGAGGCAACACCGTATGAATTGCTTGAATAGATGGATGGACCGGTGTTGGTTGAGGTGGTTGTTGATATCCCTGCATGCATGAAACTGGTGGTATACTTCTTAATGATCGTACAGAACTGCTAAAAAGTGAAAAATGTAATTAGCTTTATCTACATATAATAATTTATTGAAGCCTATTTAAAAATTTTAAGCTGGTTTTTAAACACGATCAATTAGTGACTTAACATTAATGATAGGTTAATTTTTAAAGAAATGTTTTAATACATAATAAAGTTGTTTTTATAAATCTCATAAAAAAATCTAAACAAGACAAAAATTAAAATAAATTTAATAACTACTGATAATAAAATGTTGGATGTTAAAACTAATTGCAAGTACACATTTTATATTAAATTAAATTAGCTCACCCATTCATCATATCCATTCTTCTTCTTTGCATTTCTTGT